GAACGTTGTTTTGGTCGTCTCCGTTTCTGACGGCCTCCTCTTCCCGCGCTATGGATCGCTATGACCCCCTTCCCCCATCAAGCCCACCACCAACTCATCCGTCTTTCCGTGACACGATGATAGTCTCAAATGCCAAGATGAACCAGAAGAGAAAAGAAAGAAATAGTGGAGAGGAGAGGGATTGGGGGGCTTCTTTGGAAATCATCACACACGTGCCCTGCATCCCCATTTGACGAAATCTCTCCTAGGGGGGCATTCCAATCTTCCTGCTGCCTTGTCGCCGGCATATCGCGTGTCTCAACTTAATGTCTTGCATTATGCCTGGGAGTGAGGCCAAGGGGAGGGTTGGGGGTGTTGTTCAAACAAGACGTCCATGTTCCTTCGAGAACGGCGATGATGGGCGGGCATGGGGAGAGATTGCCCTTCTGCCCTACGTCACACTGTTAGCGTTTCGGATGGTGCAGCTCATATTAACCTCCGATCTCTCCCGTCCCATCTAGACATTTCTGACTGACTAGAGCACGGGGGAGAGAGGAGGGGAAAGAAAGGTGCAAGCACAAACAGATAAGGTGCCCTGCATGCAGAATGCAGAATGCAGACTGCAGGTTTGTTTTATTTCTGCCCTGAACCACTCTTACGAAACGAAACAAGAAGAGGGGGAAGGGTCAAAGCGGGCAACGGTTCTCTTCCCATCTTTACCATCGATCAAGGCCGCGTCGGAGACAAGCGATGCACGACACCTCAGGCATTCTATAGTGGCCAACATACGAACGTTTTTGTCAATAAAACTCCGTCGATAGCTCGTAAACAAGGCTGCTGCCGACCGGTAGCGGAACTGTTCGTCTAGGATGGATCAATGCTCACCTGCCAAGCAGGGTAGGGGAGACCCACTCTCCTTCCGCGAGAATTGGACGAATCTCCCCCCCCGTCCCACTGCCCAGTATTCAATCCGAAGTCCACAGAGGGAAAAGGAGAGATCGCCATCTCAGGAGGGAAGAGCGGGCACCGGAGGGTGGTCGAAGCCCCAGAAGTGCCCGGCGCTAGCTGGCTCCGGATCATATGTCCGGACTGGACGGGCCCTGGCAGCGTTCAACCTAGAGTAGGGAAACGACGGGTTCGAGACGGAGATTGCGAGCCACCATGCCCATATCACCTTTCTGGAGCTTTCACCCCTCTGGCCGCGTCGGCGTGTGTCTGCTATGCCGTCCTCCTGGCCATCCACGGGCTTGAACTGTGTCACTGTCGCCTTTTTCGAAAGGAGGCCGCGCTCCTGGACTCACGACTGCAACGGTGAGCAATAGGCACAACCGTCCAAGGAGGTGAGTTACCGAGAATTAAATTGTCATTGTATTTGTTGTTCTTTTTGCCCTCTACGCGTATGCGCGTCGTCGTGTATCCTCTTACTCAACACGCCGTTTTCAAAATTCGCACGGAAAAAAAAAGAAAAAAAAAAGGGGGAAATAAACTCAGGTATAAGTGTCTACGTACAAAGACCGCGAAGGTCAGTTGAGGGGAGCATAGTTCATCATCAATTGTGAACGCCGTTTTTCCATGCTATCATAAGGTATCCTGCCACAAAAACAAGGAACGAGATGAGACGGGGAAAGCTGTCTCAGTGAAGGCCTGCGATGACGGCGCCCGGGGGCGGCGCGTCAAGGTCCACGCCCTCAACCACCGTTCTCTGCTGCGCGCTGTTGCGGACGAGGTTGCCAAAGTACTTGAGCGCCACCTCGCTCTCTTGTCGCACCTTGAGCGTCTCCTCGCGTCGCCTGCCTAGGTCCTTGACTGACTGCTCCAGACCAACGCGGAGATTGTCGGCCGGGAATCGCAGGACCTTGCGCACCGAGCCTGAGATGCGCGTCGAGTTGGTATGCACGTAGTCGACAGACTCCAGTTGGGCCGCGATCTTGGTCGACAGACGGTGGGGGAGTGAGTTGGGAATCTGGTTGACGATGTAGGCTGCGGCTGCAAAGGCTGGGTAATTGTTAGTTTCGGACTGATTTGTGAACAGAAAGGGCGAAAAACTTACCGGCTGCGACGATTCCGGGGACGATTAGACGGCGGAGGTTGTCGTTGCCCATGATCTTCGCCGCGCTCAGAGCGTGGTCTAACCAGCCACTACTGCCCATCATGCGCGGAACAAGAGCTCCCGCAAGCGTGAGCGCCATGCCTGTGCCTGCAACCTTCTCCTGCTTTTGAACGATAGTGTTCCAGTCGACAAAGTCCCAAAACTCGGTGGGTATGTCCACATTGCGAGCCATCGAGTCGCGCTTTCTCTTGAACATGACATCGGGGCGGAATACCAGGTTCTGATAGTCTTCACCAAGGTGCAAGATGCCTAGCTGCTTGATGGCGTTGACTCCACCGACTGTTTTCGACTTTGCGTGCTCCTCGCAGGCGTTAACAGACTCTTGGATGTAAGACATCATCGCTTCCTTCAGCTCCTCGGCGTACTCAAACGCGTTGAAGATGCCCCGGTAAGGAACGCCATGGTTGTTATCCCCAGCGTGATCGATAGCCGCGCTGAGAGTTGTGCGCGTGTAGTTGTAGACCTCCTTGCACGTCTGCTCTGTAATCTTGTCGATTTCGTCCCCAACCTGAGCAGTTGCCTTTCTGCTCGACTCCAGCTGAGGCTCGATCTGCTCGAGCTCCTTGGTGACCCGATCAAGCTCCGAGTTGGCGACCTCTGAGTTGACATTGGCCAACACGTGGACGTCGTTCAGAATGTTGAGCAGATATGTCTTGGCCGGTGCCAGTTTGGACCTGGCACGCTTTTCCAAGACAAATCTGCGCAGCGACTGCTCGAGGTTTTCAAAGTCTCGAATCTTCTCAATGTCTTTGCCTTTGCCCTTCGGGTCATCACTAGGGTCGTCGCCACCACCGCCGCCGCTTGAGCTGCCACTGCCACCGCCTGAAGGACCACCTGGGGGTGCAGGGGCAGTAGGAACAGCGTTACTTGAAACGAAGTGCACCAGCTCGGAAGACTCCTTGTGCGTTCTCGGGCTAAGACCCTGCACTTGGTCGAGAATCATCTTCTCGCATCTCTTCTTGTCTCTGATGTTGTCGAAGCCGTTCACCACAATAAAGAGGTATGCCTTCTCCGCCGCGGCAGCCCATATGAACTCCTTGGCAGTCATGGTAAAGTGGTTGGCAGCCGAAACCACAAAGACAACCACGTCGATCTCCTCCTGGCGGGCGAACACAGCCGTCGTCTTCGTTGTATCCGAATTCAAGCCAGGCGCGTCGATCAGGGCAATGTCGACCACACCATTGTTGAGCAGCGATTCATCGATAGTTCGGACATCCTTGACGTAAACCTTGCATTGGGTGTACTTCTCGTTATCCACGACAAGCTCCTCAAGCTGGGCCAGCTTGTACACATCGTAGGTACTCTCGTTGTGTCTGTCGTAGGTGGCGTCCTTGTGCACTGCATGCACCTCCTCCAGCCCTCCGTTCTCCCTGGCGTCCAGAACCTCGCAGAAGATTGCCGTGCAGGGCTGCTGGTCTTCGGGCAAGACCTTTCTGCGTAGCAGAGCGTTACAAAAGGTCGATTTGCCGGCGTTGAGATCACCAGTGACGAGCACCTTGCTAGACGTATCTTCAATTCGTTCACGGAGGTTGAGCAGGTGTCGAATACTAGAGCTAATCTTGCCATCTAGAAGCGAGGCGATGGAGCCCTTCTCCAAGGAATGGACAAGCTCCGCCTGGTGAAGCGAGCCCAGCTTAAGATCAAGCTTGAGAATCGAGAAATCCTGGGCGATCTGAGGCGTGACTAATCGCGGCTCTTCGGGGGCACGCAGCTCCTGGGCTTTGCTTGATTCGGCATCGTTACGGGCTTCAACCGATGTGAAGGATCGTCGTATCGTCGGGGGGGCAGTCGGGGAAGAGGGAGCCGAGGAGGCAGACGCGGGAGCTTCGGCAGTTGTCGAGTACGCGTGTGAAGGGGCGGGCCGCGGTTGTTCGGTTCGCTGAACAGAAGGGTAGTGGGCGGGCCAGGAGACGTTCATCTCCTGCAACTCCTTCAAAAGCTCAACGACCTTATTGATCGAGCGGCCCAGCGTCACCCTATGTGCGTTGTACCACAGCTGATGAATGGCGCCGGCCTGGCTGCGACGATCGACTTCGGAGAGCTGGCCATTGACAGGAGTCGGGATGTGACGGTCGCCACCAGAACTCATCGTATCGCCATTAGCGATACTGCCGCCATATCCCGAGTCGTTCTCAAGCAGAGACTGGAGGTGCGCCGCATGTACGGAGGTGGAACCAGATCCAACGGTCATGAACTGAGGTGGTCTGCTCGATGACGGCACCGGCTGGTCAGGCGTGTCGGAATCATCCTTCTCAACCTCCTGGTCCATGGGGGCCTTGCCCTTCTTCGAAAAATAATCTTGACTCATGTTCGATCAATCAATAATGGAAGTAGCATGGTCAAGCAACGCTTTGGAAAGGAGAAAGGGGGTATAAGTTGGGAGAGGCGGCGGCGAAGTTTTGTCAGTTCGTGAATGTTTTTTTTTCGTTTTTTTTTTTCCTTCTTTCCCTTTCCAGGGAAGCTTGTCATGTACAGTAGGTAGGTACCTGAAGACTCCCCGGCGCATGACTTTGGGCGGAGCGGCAAATTTCCCTTCACCCCGTTGTCGCAGCTCTGCGTCTATTGGTCCAGAAACAGACATCGGAAAATGCCGCCATCTACACTAGGTTCTTTCCCTTATCTAATCATCCGAGCGGCGACCCATTCGATCGGCCTGAACACGCAGTGACTTCCTTGGAATTTGGTTCGCCGGGGCCTGGGTACAATGTGCCAAGCTGTTGTACCTACGTCCCGTGCCTGTTACGTGAGTGAGTGAAGTGCTAGGCAACCTAAACATCAATCGACCACCAACTCCTCTACACGACACTAACATTGTCGCTGCCATCGACCCTTTAGCGCCTATTGCTTGGCTCTTCGACTCGACGGCATTCTATCTTCCTCCCCCCCGGAACGATCATCACAAACGTCCACGATGAATGTACGATGCGTGCATCTTCTTCCCCGCCATCACCCGCCCTGCTAACTCTGCAACGTAGATCCTCGAGTACATGTTTGGCAAGCGCATTACGCCTGCGGAGCGTTTGCGCAAGAACCAGCGTATGCTGGATAAGGCGATCCGAGAACTCGATCAAGTTCGCGTAAAGTTGGAAAAACAGGAAAAGCAGTTGATTACGCAGATCAAGCAGAGCGCCCAGAAGGGACAGATGGGCGCCTGCAAGATCCAGGCCAAGGATCTGGTCCGGACGCGGAGGTCAGAAGCGGCAAAGCTACGAGCAAAAGGGTTTTGATGCTAATGGTTCCCTCTGCAGATACATTGAGAAGTTCTACGGCATGCGCAGTCAACTGCAAAAGATTTCGCTTCGCCTTCAGGTACGACGTTTCGATGACGCGTGGCTCTCGAGGAGCGTTTCCCGACTGACGTATACATTCCCTCACAGACATACCGCACCAACGAACAGATGATGACGGCCATGAAGGGCGCAACGCAAGCCCTGGGCACGATGAATCGATCGATGAACCTTCCCGCCCTTCAGCGTATCGCCATGGAATTCGAGCGCGAGAACGACATCATGGATCAAAGGCAGGAGATGATGGACGATGTCATGGACGATGCCATGGACGTCGGTGCCGAGGAAGAAGGTGAAGAGGTGGTTGAGCAAGTGTTGGAAGAGATTGGAGTCGACCTGACATCAGCGGTAAGCACTTGCGAGCAGTTGATGACGAAGAAGCACTGGCTAACTCGGGGGTTACGCAGCTCGGAGAAACACCGTCTGGAATGCAAACGGCGGCAGTACCGGAGAGCCGAATTGCTCAAGCGGTTGGCGGAGGCGGAGGCGGGGACTCTGGTGACGACGACCTCCAGGCTCGCCTGGACAGCCTCCGACGGTAGTCGCAGGGGCGCTTGATGTGGTGCTCATAATGTCCGGGGACAGCAGCGGGACAGCAATGAGACAGCAACGATGGACAAAGAGGGAGGTGAATATTGGACAGCTAATTTGTTTTATCACACAAGGCACGGAGTCCTCGTCTTACGGGAGGGCGTACATTTTCTCAAGCGGGCGTTTCTCACTATGCGGAAACCATCCGTGTGTCCGTCTTGGTTGGCGAGCTCTGAGTTGTCACTCGGGAGGTTGCATCGGAACATTGCGTCATTCGTCTACCGTAAAGACGGAATGCCCCGCCCAGATGCAATGTTTATTTTACCGAGTGGTCTTCCGTAGAGAAGCTGGGTTTATAGATCAAGGCCTCCCCGCCTCTTGACTCTGTCTTTGGCCGCATTGTTGATGGTCAGCTTGGCGTTCTTCGGTAGGATACACCAGACTCGACTTCGACTAAGCAACCAACGGTTTCTTTGGCGGTAAAGGTTGTCACCCAAATACTCAAAGTAGGCCCAAGACGCAGACGGCGCAAACAAGCGCGTATGCGATTAAGCTACGTGATGGACGCTCTGGGACACACATTGCAGAGCATCTGTTGAATGCATGAAGTGCTGTTCCGAGTCAGCAGTCAGTTAAGCAAATGTGGGCTTTGGTATTTGGGCAGAAGCGTGAGCAGCAGAGTGGGCAGCGGATCTCCCATGTCAGCCCAACCTAGCAAAAAGAACGTTTCGGACCCTGATTTTCCGGAACAAGACGTTTCCTGGTCTCATGACACAAAGACACGATGGGATAACAACGACAGCAGTGCCTGCTCAAGACATCCACCCTGTCCTGCCCCGCTTCATTCATCAGTCGGGCTTATCAGGGATCGGATGCAGGCTAGGCTTCTGCGCCAGCATGTTGTCACTGTGTGTTACCAGCGTTGACTTGGCTGAGATATCCAGACGGTTCGAGGGGCTCCGTAATGCTGTGTCATGGAGATGGAGATGGTCTCTCTTACAAACGTGCATACACTTTTCCCCCTTGGCAACGGGGTGGCTATAGTTGGGTGGCCAAGCCATCAGAGAGACGGACGCTTGGTGGTTCGGCTCGACTTTCAATTCTGGAAGGCAAAACAAGTCAGGGCGCCAGCCACCTGGGCACCCGAACATATAAGCTTTCTGGAAGGGGATCATTCCGTGGCCCTCGCTACTTTGTCGGTTTGTCTGCAAGTCATTTCGCAATACCGTCTGATTAGCACGCATTGAGGAATGTAAGAGGCCCTTTGCGCGCGCGTGGGGCGTGACCCCGATACACCCGACAGCGTTCAAAGTGATGTATAACTTCACTTGGGAGGCGTGTTGTTGAGTCGCTCATGCGGTGCAGGGAGAACCCATCCATGTGGCCCCTGGTCACTCGGCTCGAATGTCCCCTGTTGAGAACTTAGACTAGTTGCACAGGTCGATATGAAACGCTTGACCAGAAAGTAGCAGCCAATATGCGTGCGTGCATGCCGTTGAAAAAGAAGATAAGTCAATGTTGGAGGATCAAGACCGGGACATTGGTGATGTTCGTGATCGGCATGGCAAAGGCCGGGTTCGACTTAGTCAATATTTCGTGGTTGGGTCTCAGTGTGAGATGATGCATCCCCCTTCTTGGTCCAGTCTGGTATCTACCTAAGCAAGTCAACCAGGCTGGCTACCTTGGTGCTTGGTAGAGAGAGCAGAGCAAAAGTGCAGAGCAAAGTGCTGAGAGTTCCGAAGTGCGGATGGAGTGTGTTGGGCTCTCTCTCCTCTTGATTGATTTCGTCCCTCTGTGAGTTTGAAATTGTTCGGATACCGCCGAGGCCTTCCACGAGCTCAGTCGAAACCCCTAGTGTGCCTGGTATCTTGGCCAAGGCCCGGATCCAGAACCAGCAACATCGCTTCGCCTCACATTACCTCATATTAACGCCCCCCCCTCCAATCAGACGCAAGACATCATCGCCGCGCCGGATGGTGAGCCCTGGCAGCGCAGCATATCGCGGTCACAGCGAATCTTGGATCTACCAAACACAGCTCACCTCGAATCTGGGGGTATCGTAGGTACGTCACACCAGGCCAGGTACTGCAAGGCCTGCTCCCCAATTATCGCAGGGCCCCCAATAGCCGAGCGGAGAGCAGTACCTATCTACTGGTAAGCGCCGCTAAGAAACGACCCTGCAAATCGTTCCCACCGCTTTCGGTTTTATTTTATTCTACTGGTTTGGTTTTTTTTTTTTTTGTCTTAGCTACCTAACCTACCTAGGTAAGTACCTTACCTTACTTTACGTACCTAGGTATCCGTACATACGCACTTTACTGTACGGCTTGCCCTTTCCCATCATCCAGCCAACCATTCCACTCCCCCCTCTCTCCCTTCCCCCTCCCCCTCCCTTCTGGACTGACTGCGGAGCACTGAACCAGCGACAGCGCAACATTCACATTCACACCTTCCCTCCTACGTCCTCAACTCAACACCATCATTCCCCTCCCTGACGGCATCGCAGCTCTGACTATCTCGCCCGCCAAACTGCTTCCTTGCGCCACCTCTACTTTGGTTTTTGTCTCTCCTACATCATCGCCAGACAGCGTCTTCGTCCCTGTTGGGTACGTCACTTTCGTGAGTGTTATATTGATTCTCCTACAGTACCTATCTATCCTTCAGCCAGCCTACGTCACTTGTGACCCCGGATTACTATACATGAAGACATACACACCGTGCTCCCGGCTATTTGCACGATTCATTCTCTCTCGTCTTTGCCGGGCCTTGTTGCTTGCTCGTCGCCATCCGTGTTGGTCTGTCTGCGAGATTGGCTCAACAATCCTGCACTCTCTTGACTTTCGACGACGCTCAAGGCGACCTGCTGGCGCCTGCCTACGTGTTGACCCTGCCCGACCCTTCAACATCTGCGTGTCCTTTTTCTGTCCATCTTGTCTCATACATCGAGTCTGCCCAGCTCAAAACCGGCTTACTATCTAGCCCCCGGTTGGTCTCGGACCATTTTGCCCCTCCACCAAACCGAAGGACTGCTATTGCTCGCTAGGCCTAATGCTAACTCAGCCTCTCTCAGACAGCATAATTTGCGACATTCCTCCCACGACAAAAACAACGACCCATACGAAGGCTAAAATCACTGTGATACCATCGTATCCGATCAATTGTACAAGCCAAACGGTATCCTTGACGTCTTTTCCAAGGTTCTTTAAACTGGCAGGAAGCAAGCGTCGCAGCCTCTCCAACCAGGGGAGTGGTCTGCTGACTAGAATGTTCGGCGGCGGCTCCAGTTCGGCTGCGTCCAAGGCGCAGAGCGACCTTAAAGAAGACCGAAAGTCGCCTTCACCCGATTCCGACAAGGGCTCCACGGCCGCCACCAAGTCATCCGACCAAGCCGCGAGCGGCGACAAGCGGAGTGGGAACAGCAGTCCTCCGGGCCGCCAGCAACAGGATGGCGCTGTCGACAAGAAGCGCCGTGCCAGCGGCGTCCAGAGTAAGGCCGCCGGCCTGCTGGCTCACGCCAAGAACACCTTGAACTTTTCTCAAGTCGGCCGGAACAGCTCGGATGCAAGCTCGCAGACTCCTCTGCAGAAGTTGGGCAAGCAGGACCCTGCCCTCGCAGTGCCCCAGGGCCAACACAACAACTCGGCCGGTGATTCCATCCCCGGCCCTCGTTCGACATTCCGTGTCGGCGTTTGGGAGGACAGGAACAAGAAATGCCGTCGCACGATGGAGGATACTCATGCTTTTCTCTACAATTTCTTGCACACCCCAGCCCCTGCTCTTGATGACAAGAAGCACGACTCTGCGACCGACGACAAGGAGGCACCTGCTCAGGACATGGCCGAAACCGACAACGGCTACTTTGCTATCTTTGACGGCCATGCCGGCACGTTCGCCGCTGATTGGTGTGGGAAGAAGCTGCATATCATCCTGGAGGACATTATTCGAAAGAACCCCAACGGTCCCATCCCCGAACTTCTCGACCAGACCTTCACTTCAGTCGACGCGCAGCTAGAAAAGCTCCCTCTTAAGAACAGCGGATGCACCGCGGCTGTCGCCGTACTACGTTGGGAAGATCGGGTGCCCAGTGACCGCTCTGCGACTGGCTCCCAGGCCATTGCGCCTGCTACCGCGGCGGCCACCAAGGCGGCCAAGTTGTCGTCGGAGGAGATCAAAGATGACAAGACAAACTTGGCGAGCGGCCCCGCGACCGCGCACGCCAAGCTGAGGAGTTCGGCAAGCCGCCAGCGTGTTCTCTACACGGCCAACGTCGGAGACGCCCGCATCATTCTCTGCCGTGCTGGCAAAGCACTTCGCCTTTCGTACGACCACAAGGGCAGTGACGAGAACGAAGGGAAGCGGATAGCGAACGCAGGTGGTTTGATACTCAACAACCGGGTTAACGGTGTCTTGGCTGTGACGAGAGCCCTTGGTGACACCTATATGAAGGATTTGGTCACCGGGCATCCGTACACAACCGAGACCGTCATCCAGCCCGAAAGTGACGAGTTCATCATTATAGCTTGTGATGGAGTAAGTTTCTGCTTCTGTGCCCGTAGACACTGTCTGACAGTTTGTTAGCTCTGGGACGTTTGCTCCGACCAAGACGCCGTTGACCTCGTCCGCAACGTCGAGGACCCGGTGGAAGCCTCGAAGCTCCTCGTCGATCATGCACTGAATCGCTTCAGCACGGATAACTTGTCTTGTATGATTGTTCGACTTGACAAGGAGGCACTGCTGGAAAGTCAGAATGACAAGGAGAACGCCATCGGAGTGGAGCGCCCTCCCGCCTACTCAGCCAAGGTCAGCGAGTCCGAAAAGATCATTCTGGAGACGAAACAGAAGATTGCCGATGGCGGCGCGCCGGCTGTGGGTGTTTCGGCCAGCAACAGTGGCCGTGGGCATGATCCCGCGTCCATTGACAACGGAGACTTCAAGCCGACCACGCTGGATGATACTCTCGAAGAGGAACCGGGACCGATGGATGACGGCGACTCCCCAGAGATTGCCCCCGACGTGGCTCCCGCACTTCTCCCTGCAGAAGTGGAGCAAACCGACACAGCGGCGTCCAAGAAAAGTCCCTCGACTTGATGGAAACACGATGCTTGACGACTCGGCCTGGTCTGGAGGAGCATTCCGTACGTATGTTGGGCATACACTATGGAGTCGAGGCAGTTATTGGACTGGAAAGAAAGGAATACACGGGATGACATTGCAAGAAGTTGGTCCAGAGGTTGCGAGCAAGTGGAAGCTGAGAGCGGGGAACAGGCACGTACAGCACGTATGAGGCAAACGCAACAGCCGTATGGCAAGGAGCGCCTATTGTAGGCTATATGTACATTTAGCTATCAAATGGGCTTGGTCCGCGATCGCGATGCAAATATTGCTGCCCACTCTTTGTGATATTAGGGGACTCTCGCCTAGGGCGTCAACCACCTCGATGCAGCATTGTCGGCGGGAACAATGCCTAGATGACATGTTAAGCAAACTTTGGTCAGCAGACGTTGGGGGACAGGTGCGCCTTGCTTTCTGTCAAAAAGAAGAGCCCGAGTCAAGGAGCTTCTCCGCGGAGGTCGGCCCACAGCCCACGTCCCACGATTGTTAAGCTACCCCGCGTACCCACTCGCGGAGCCTAAACTACCTACCTACCTAGATAGCACCGGTCAACTCTGACGATGAAATGTGGGTAGGATGGATGTAGATGCATGAATTTGTCACATTGCAACGGAAAGCTGGCCGGTTCCTACATAACGTAGAGTCCTCGCGGCCGGATCAGTCTGGGGCGGCGATTATTCGTATATCTATCTATCTGTACACAACCACTATAACCTACTCAACCATTGCCCAGACCAATTGGTTCACCGTTCCTCCTTCCACGATTATGAAGGCACCCCGAGACAAGAAAAGAAGAAGGAAAGTTGGGGACGGGGCCATCGACCGCCCAAGGGGGGTCTGTGACGTTAACAAAGGTTCGGATGCGCGTGTGCGATGGGCGAACGTGACCCAGCCTGCCGCGCGAGCGTCAACGTGACCACGGGCTTCCGTGCCAGTCACAGAGTGGCGGCGCAAGGAGCTTGGGCTTTTGGGAGGCTTGGGGAAGTTCCCCAGTTTCGGGCTCTCGGGGTCCCCAGACTGGAAAAGAGGGGTCTCTGTCTGGGGCAGAATCCGTCACGGGACGAGCGTGGGGAGGAATGAGTGTTCTGAGCGACGCCTCCGTTCTCAACTGCCAATTGCCTGCGACACGAAACGGACACGTATTGTGCCATACCATGCATGTACCAGGTGCTGCGCAGCCATTGGCTTCGGGTGACCTCACCTTGCTTCCATTTCGTACACCGAAGGCGCCGAGGAGGGGGGGGCTGCTGGGAACCTTTACTGGCGTGCCGCCGGACTGTTCGGCGCTGCCCATGCTCGCTGGAATCCAATCGAGAGAGTGGGAGAGGGACAGAACAGACGCCAGGCAAGATCGGGGAGGCAGGAAACGCATCTTTTGCTTTTCTTTTACCTAAGGTGAAGGCTGAATAGCCCATGCTAGAGGCACACTACTCCGCGCCTTGTGTTCACTCTTGATTGATCAGTCGGGTGGTAGAGAGGGAGAGAGAGAGAGAGAGAGAGAGAGAGAGGTCGACGAACCAAACACACCCCCCCGCATGCAAACCGACGGCTTCCTTATTTCCTTGACGCACAGTTGCATGGTAGATCTCGGGGCAGTCTCATCCATCTGATACATCTTGTCGGTTACATAGACAGTTTCCGCCTCGCATTCTTCTCCTTCCGCAATCTGCAATCTCTCGAGCCAAATCGTGCCAATCAGACCCCGGAAAACACACGCGCACCCCTCGTCGATAAGGAAGGGAAAAGAGTTGAGTTGATGGTACGCACGCGTTTTCTTCCTTTCTTTCGCCTACCTGCCTGCCTACCTGTCTTCGCTTGGGTCGCACAAAAGTGCTTGCTTGTATTCCGGTCTGACGGCCAACGGACAACCAAGCCCGTCGTCAAACCCGATCTCGCAAGCATGATTGAATGTCTTTATTTTGTTTCCGTTCCTTTACAACTGAACCAGCAGAGCCGAGTCCGAGGCGCAACGTTCTAGTTACACCATACCGACTTTTTGTTTGGGAAATCGTCCCAACACCAGACGAAGACGGCCGCGTACCTATTCTCCTTGTGCTTACCTAGGTACTTACCTACCTTGCAAGGCCTTGGCTACCCTTCTCCGGCCTATCCAACTTTACATTACCTTCCTCCTCCGGACCAGTCCACGTCGCATCTTCACTTCCTCATCCAGCATCTCCGCACGCACGCACAGTCCTCAATCCTCAGCAGTCAGTCACACTTGGCCAGGTGCCTTGGGGAGGTACGTATCCTTACCTACCTACCCACCCAGGTAGGTACCTCCCTACCTAGGGGCCTGGGTGCGTACCTACTTGGGCAATTCAATCCACCTGCCTGCCTACCTGTACTCGCGGTGTACTACCTACCTACTTATGTGTACGTACATTGGGGAGGATACCTACCTACCTACCTAATCACTTGCTAGGTAGGTACCGGTGGTAGATAAGGTAGAGCAGAGCTACCTAGCTTAGGTACCTCATCCACGTACGTCCCATCACCCAACCCTCCACGGCTTATGCACCAGACGGTGTACATACTTACCTACAGGCAACCCGCAGCGTCAAGGGGAGCACTGACCATCCCCGCCCCCCCAAAAAAAGTCCCCGCCCAGCAGAACGTGGACCGACAAAAACCATCCACGCCCCGCCGCTTGTGGCTGGAAACCCGTCTTTTTCCCCTCCATAAACCCGTTGCAAACCGCCCGATTCGACCGAGTCTATCCATCAAAGAAACCCAGCATCTTGCCCTCCATCACCCCGCGATTGTTGCAGCGCGACTGCCCGGCCCATCATGGCCCAATACGCAGTCCCACCCCCATCCAATCTGAGCCCGACGACCTCCAACACCCACTCGACCGCTGCCGCCGCTGCAGCACAGGCACAGGCACCGGCCCAGGCACAGCCTGGGACGGCCGGTGCACCCCCCCAGCATAAACGCGTCTACCAGGCCTGCATCCCGTGTCGCCGGAGAAAGGTCCGTTGCGATCTGGGCAGCGTCGACAACCCCCACGACCCGCCCTGTGTACGATGTCGCCGCGAGAGCAAGGAGTGCTTCTTCAGCGCTACTAGGCGGAAGCGCAAGACCGAGGATGGCGACGACCCCGACGCAGATGATGTCGACGACTACACCGTCCGCAATGGCCGTAAACGCGTCCACGTCAGCGGTAGCCCCCCCGTCACCATCGACCACCGCCTCTACAGCGAAGTACCCCTTACCCCGGGAGGCTCCATGGGCCGGAATCAACCCTTGCGCCGCCCGACCTCCATCGGCGGTACCCCAAGCACGACGAGCCAGGCCGACAGTCGCCAGCGCGCCGACTACATTATGGACGATGAACCCAACGCCCAGCTCGAGAATCGCGAAGCCCAGGATCTCATGCGACCCGGCGTCTACGGGCCGCACGACGCCTTGGATCTGCTCTATAAGGCGGCCACGGATAGGTCAGTCCAGCTCAGCAAGGTCCAAGACCCAGCTGCTTACCACTCCTCGGCCTATAGTCCTGCAACCAACAACCACAAGCGCCACGAGAGTGTTGCTTCTATACCTGTCATACCGCAGCAGCCTCTCATCGTGACACCTGGAGCAACCATGAAGCCTCGGGTCAACAGCCGGCCGCCTGCCCCGGTCAAGCTTGCGCCGCAGCCCATTGACCCAGAACTGACGCGGCGCGACCTCTCCGGCGAGCCTGGCTACCAGGATGCCATCAAGGCCTGGGGGAGGTTCAGATTCGTCAGAGCCGGCTGGTTTTCTGCGCAGGAGGCCATTGAATACATCGACTAGTAAGCTGCCCCCCCCCCCCCCCCCCTTCACTTTACCACTCCATGTCGTATTTAACATTTGTTAGCTACTACGAATATCTATCACCGCTCACCCCAATCTCACCCCCGACCTTCCGTAACCCCGCATCGCATATCACCCTCCTGACGGAGGAACCCATCCTCACCATTACACTCCTCACAATCTCTTCGAGATATCGGAAGATCCCCGGAACCGGTGGCCACTGCAGGTCACACGCCATCCACGAGCAGCTCTGGACGTACCTTCGTGGCATGATTGAGAGGTGTCTCTGGGGTCAAGAGGCTTTCGGGGGTGGATTTGCCGCCATGGCTGGTGCGTCATCTCTTCCCGACGATCAATCGAGTAGCACGGCGCCCTGGCGAGGAATGAGGAAAGGCAGTCTACGGACCTTGGGGACGATTGAGTCCTTGATGATCCTTACCGAGTGGCATCCTCGTGCGCTTCACTTCCCACCAGCAGAGGCCATCGATGAGCTTATGCTTCCTTCATATGAGGGCAGTGACCTGATTAGCACCGATGAAAACGGCAACCAAAGGCCGTCTGCCAATATCGGCGGCAAGAGGCTTGACAGCTGGCTCGAGCCCGCCTGGAGGAGTGACAGGATGTGCTGGATGCTTCTCAGCACCGCCATGGGTCTAGCCTACGAACTCGGCGTGTTCGACGACATCGACGAGCTGTTGCGCGACGGCGCCATTTCGCGTCCCGAGTACGAGGAGGAGGTGTACCGCCAACGAGCCTACCGCATAAAGCGCTTGCTCTTGATCTATCTGACCCAGCTGGCTGGCCGCCTCGGGTGGACCAACATGGTGCCCGAAGCCCTTCGTAGGAGCGACCCGGCCGTGACTCGTCGTCGCCCGGCATCGACGGAAGGTACCACGCCCGGGACCAACCCGTCGTCCATGTCTAATGCCTTCAACTACATTCCTGACCTCGAGCTGGACGATCAAATAATACATTGCTGGGCTGGAATCAGCAACGCTATGCATATTGGGAACGAGAAGCTGTTCAAATCGCGCAAGCATACCACCGACATCATTCAGAGCGGCAAGTACACGGAGATGTTGAAAGATTTCCAGCCGTTGCTTCAGGACTGGTGGAAAGAGTTTGAGCGTTACAGGCTGCCGCCTTACATCAGGCACATCCTCACCATCGAGTATGAATACGTGCGTATCTACGTCAACTCGTTGGCCCTGCAGGCTGTCGTCGAGCGGTGTACCAATAATGCCGGTCACACAGCAGCGCATGTGAGCCAAGGCGCCCATGGCAACCACAACTCAGGGAGCGCGGCGCAGCTGTCACCCCAAACGCAGAACTACTTTGGTAAACTACCTCTAGGCCAGCTGGGTGGCTTTGGCGCAAGTGATCAGGAGTACATTAAGGAGGTCATCACCGGCTGCCGGAACCTGCTCCGAACCGTTGTGGAGGGCCTCCTCCCAGGCGACTATCTCAAGCACGCCCCCGTGCGGACGTACTTCCGCATCATCAGTGGAGCCATGTTCCTGCTCAAGACCTTTGCCCTGGGCGCTCCGCGGTCGGATGTCAAGCTCAGCATTGACTTGATGGATGAGACAGTCAAGGCCCTCCGTAATTGTATCGTCGACGATGTTCACCTGGGCATCCGATTCGCAGACCTACTCGACTCCCTGACCAGTCGGCTTCGCAACCGGTTCATCCAGGCTCCAGCTCTGGGGAAGGCTTCTTCTGCGGATGGAAGGAGCCCTGACCCGCATGCCGTCGCCAACGGTGCTACCGGTGCCAACGGTCAACAAGCCGACGGTGGCGACGGCCAAAACTGGTCCAGCCACCCCACGAAGCCACGAGACGGACTCGCTGTACACGGTAAACTTCCACTCCTTCTCTTCTCAACTTCGTTTTTGATGAACGACAGCAGCTGACATGGATGCAATAGAAGATCCTGCTAACATCTCCGCAACGCCCTTCGACCTTAGTACGGGCAACTTTCCCTATCCATCGGGTACAGCCTCGGTCCTTGGACCCTCGACGCCGGCACCACCGCCTGAGAACGGCGCCACCGCTGCAGGGAGCAGCAATAACGCACCGACGACGGGAATGGACAACCTCTTCGACTCGACGGACTGGAACAACCCGGGCAACGAAATGTGGTACCTACCACCCGGCCCGGCCTTCTTCCAGAACATAGACAACACGGCCGTCGCCATGACCGCTGAGGGCGTCAACGTCGGCGGCCTCGATCTGCTCGAGTACATGGCCATGGACACGGGTTTTCCCTCCATGGACGGACCCTCGTCGTACCCCTGAACCAGGCAGGGAAGGGGGTCCACCCGCAACTGAAAAGCAACGCTGTCAAACGAATACAAAGGCAGAGTAATTGGCAAAGGATGGCTTACAGAAAATTGAGCAGGCAACTGGCCTGGGTGGAATGGCGCTTCATCGGGTCTTGCAAATGGAAAGATAAGGCGGCAGGTTTTTAACCCGCCCTCGCGCGAGCGACTTTTGGTTATATCCTTCGCAACTTGGAAAAGCAAGCAGCAAGCAAGCAAGCATGATTCGGGGGGAAGGCTCCGAGAGACCGTACTGTCGAAATATCTCTTACACAATATACATGCCATGACCGGCATGGGCAAGAGTATGACTTAGATACCCTTTTTTTACGGTTTTGTATTAGATGCAACCAAGCTCGAGGACCGATCCAACAGGCATCTCGAGCACGGGCTATCCAGGAATGCACATGCACACGTACATACATGCGCACGCGCGCACACTTAGAGCATGGGATGTGTACTCGGAAATGGAGGGTTGGTCAAGTTCGCACTGAGCGACCGTTTGCGTCTACTACAACATCGCGACTGAGCTTGCTCGGAGCGCGGGCGCGTGCAGGGTCACAGAGGCGGGTTTGGGATATATTTGCAGATGAAATATGATTTACAACGGGGGAGGAGGCCAAGGAGGTCGCCGTCGGCCGGCCCAATGCTCGAAGGCAATCTAGGAAGAAGCATTCCCAATATCAACCCCTCTCCCCCTCCCTCCCTCTTCCCCTGCGTAGACTACCTAACCCGTCCTATATTCCCTCAAACGTGCCCCCCCCCGCTCCCCAGTGTCGTAGCTTCGTTGCAGAACCTGGCCTGGTCACCCCCGCCTGACCTATTTGGATACACGATAAACCTATTCGCGTGCATGTAGCACACTTCCCCCGTCGCGAGTGCTTTTTTTTTTTTTGTCCAGTGACGTACACGACTAGACACATACACAAAATCATGGAAAGAGACAAGACCAGAACAGAGAACATGTGAAAGCAAAGCATGGAGCCGGGAACGCCTAGCCAAATGCCATTGGAGAAGCGAAACAGAAAGCCTACTACCCACCAACTGACCAATCCTTTTTTTCCATCCAATTCACGAGAGAACACTTCTGTCGAATTCGTCTGTCCCCGATCGTTTTCCGATTCGGCTCGTGTATGGGAAGGTTTTCGGGATAGTACTGAGAAGAAGCTGGTCTTCGCAAGCGATGGGATAACCTAACTGACGAGGCCCTTCTTGCTCTGTTGCGTGGAGAGGCACAGCGTCACGGTCAGCGGCCGGTCTTTGAATCCTGCCTGGCCAAACCCACGTCCAATCTCTCCCACTTCCTCCCGCCCAGAAACCATAGAGGGCGGGAGCGCGAGCAGTCCATGAGGCTCAAAAAGTATATCAAGCCGAGGCACCGCCGCTGCGCTCACAACCGGATGTAAGATTTACTCACCAAGTACTCCCACAGGAGCTTGGTCATCTGATCCGACATCGTATACAGATCGATGGAAAACTCTCCCGCTACAAACGTGTCAGCCGTGAGTCGCTCGCTTGATCAATCACTCATTACAAGCCGGCCCCTCCACCTCCTAACGCAAGGAAAACTGACCGCTCAGAAGATCGACACCAGGGGAAGCAGGCGTTAGCTCACCATCGACATCACTCTTGATGTATGTGTCTGCAGTCTTGTTATCATTGATGATTTGGATGACGCGGAGCAGATCATCCTCATCAAGCTTCTCCAAAGCCTGCGCAATCTTCTCGTAGTCGTACTTCTGGGCACCCTTTTTACCGGCACCGCCCTTCTTCTTGAGGCGGTCGTCATCGGACGGAAGAGGACCAGTCTCGCGCAGAATCTGCTGCAAGGCCTGCGACGGATTCTTGAACGAGACGGTGTGCTCGGCGTCGTAACGGTTCTTTGCAAAGTTGAGGTCGTGGCTGAGGGTCTGCTTCGATTTTTCGGTAATGTAGCAGTCGATCGTCATGTCGAATTCACCCCATCCCTCGTTCTCACATCGGAAGGGAGGCTTGGCGAAGGCTGAAGGGGTATTGATGGTCAGCAAGCTACGGTCGGGAAAGAGCAAGCACGGGTAGGACGTCTACGAACTTTGCGTTGGGTTTTCGAAGGATGGGTGCAGGTTGTAGACAACCTTCTGGAAGCAATCGGCCGGGTGCTCCTCGCCGTCCTCGCCAACTATGTAGATCACGATGGACCATTTTCGCATGGGAAAGTCTTCGACGGGGGAGGGTTTGTCACTAGGGGGAGAAGATCCAGAGTTAGTAGCTGGTCCTGAAGGAGTGCATCCATGGGAAACAACTTACATGACGTTCTGCTCGGTGACGAGCCTGACTTTGCGCTTCAGCCCCTTGTTAGCCCTGGATCGAATCGATACTATCCATGATGGGGCATTATGCTTCTTCTGGGTCACCGCCCTTGGAGGAGCCATAATGGGTAGTCGCGATGGGGAGGAAGAAGAGGGTTGCGACGGGTGATAGTAGCAGAGGCGATGGGTTGAGGAAGGTACCAAACAGACCAAACGCGGTGAAATCATATTGAAACGGATCCCGCGAGATTGTCAAGCGTGCTTGGTAAGGGGAAGCTCTCCATTTGATTGACAGCGCAAGCTGTTTACCTCGAAGGTGGTGGTGAGCGGGCAGGGCGGAGTCGCAGAGGGACGCGACGCAGTGTGGTGACAATATGTGGGAAATGGAACGGTGGCTCTTACCTCGACAATCATTATGGGTCCTAATTGCAAAGTAAGACTGTAATTGAAGCAATACGTGCTGTTCAGGAGGAGGGACTCGGCGTGCACTGGGAGGGTGTGTGAAGTTCACCACCAGTTTGGGATTTGGAGGTTTAGGAGTGGAAGGCTGAGGATGACGCTCGGGCCACACCACACCCAGGGTGTGGCTGGAAAGCTCACTGCGCGCAGGCGTGAAGCGTGTTTGCGTGTTGCGGGGAAGCAAGGACTTTAATTGAATGGCAGAACAACCTCCTACCCAGTGTTAAATCACACTCTGTTGATGCGATGCAAAAGGGAAACAAAGCACCTTTAAGGTTAAATATTGGCGGATTGCATTCATATTGACAACATTAGCAGCCACAGCTCCTTGGCATGCACATCAACAACAAAAGGCGCCAGTGATGACAGTCTCAGTACTGGAGCCCAGGGGTATGATTCTTCTGCCTGTCTGCCTCCTTTTTGGGGGTGCATCTAATCGAATGGGAAGGGACTTTATTCTTGCTGATTGGCGCTGTGTAGAGTGTCTTGTTCCTAAGCTTTGATGCCTATCCATCCACTTATCAAATGCTAGAAAACAAGCACCACTCGGTGCAAGTCTTTGTTGCACTCTTCAGCATCTCCTCACCGAAGTGGTTCCATCTGCCTCGTATCGTGGGGGTGTAAAAGCAAGTTTAACAATGGGTGCTAGTTTCGGTGTCGTTGCAAGGGGCCGTTTATTATAGTAGCCCGGCGCATGGGTAGGTCTTCCATCCTCATCTTCTCGTGGATATGTGAGGTTTGGGCAAATTTACTCCGAAGAAGCAGGGGCTGCGGCACTCTCGGCCGCCTTGAAGAGCTCCTCGTTGTCCTTCTGGGCCTTGAGGAAAGCATCCTTGAAGAGGTTGGCGTCTACGTCTAATTAGCTTTCTGGTAACAAGACAACCTCTCAGCAGAGACTTACTCTCGGAGTTGGCAAAGCGGATGGCCAGGGTAACGGCCTCGGCCTCACCCTCGCTGACATCGGCGGCGGCGTTCCACACCCAACTGCGATCAGAGCCGACGTTGGGGGACAGCTTCATCTCGGGAACGACTATCAAGATATGAGCAAGTGTCGAGAAATTATGGCACGAACCAGGGACACATACTGTAGTGGTTGGCGCAGACCTTGAGGGTCTTGTCACGACGCATGACGAGACGGGTCTTGCCGTTCTCCTTGTGCTTCAACAGACGGACGTCACCGGTGCCACGCTCCTTCCACTCAGTCGTCTCCTTGACGAACTTGAACAGCTTGGCGCGCATTTTGAAGAGCTGCTCCTCGGCCTCCTCGTTGGTTTGGACATCGACCTTCTCCGTCAGCTTGATGACGGGCTCGAAGTGGACATCCTCGGACTCGGGGGCTTCTTCCTCGGCCTGTGAATCATGTCAGCGTCACCATTACGCACGTTGTTGTTGTTGTTGTTGCTGCTGTTGCTTCTGCTGCTGCAGAACTTGACGTTGGGTGCTTGACGTACCTCGCCGCCCTCCTTCTTCTCGGCGGCGGCAGCTTCACGCTGGGCCTTGGCGCTGCCAGAGTTGTCGCCACGCTCCTCATCCTCCTTCTTCTCCTTCTTGGCGCCACCCCCAAACATGGAGAAAACAGCAGAAGAGGTCACAGGCTTCTCGGCCTCACCGGTGGTCTGCGAGTTGACACATTAGTTATCCCATATACTCAAATTGTATTGCATATTGACGGTAAGAGGGGAGAGGGCGATGCGCATCGCAAAGCACCAGGCATATGTGCGGCGATGGAGGCAATGGCCCCGTCGAGACGATACGGCTGGTAGTTGAATGGCGCATACGGAAGAAAAAAAAGAAGGAGGGCGTCGTACCTCGGCGGGCTTGGTCTCCTCGACCTTGGGCTCGGTAGCTTCGGCAGCAGACATGTTGTTGATTCTTTGCAAAGCGATATGTGTTGTTAAGGGTGGCGATGTTTGGGTCTGCGGGCGAGAAACGAAGAGAAAAAAACATTAGCCCGTGAATCATTCCGCATTACCGCCTAATCTGCCCCTCATCGAGCCAGGACGGGGAGCACGACATGCTCGTCATCCGGGCCAGCGTGAAACGGACTGCAGGGGAGCGAGGCTGAAGAACATGAGACTTACCAGGGCTAGTAGTGGTATGTGCTGCAGGGCGCGAAGGAGGGGTTGGAAGAGTGGAAAGCAAAAGATGATTTTGTTTCCTCAGTCAAGGTGAAGTTGGGAGTGGGTTGGACAAAATGAGGAAAGACAGCCCCTCATTCAAAAGTCAACAACAAGAGGGGTGTGTCGGGCGGGCCTGGCCCTTGCGGTTTCGTGCCCAGGCAGTTGTCATCCTGCGACAGGCAAAGTACCCCATCACCTAGATAGAGTGGCACTGTACTTTCTGCCTCTGGATGACCCTGTGGGGATTTACCAGAACCAGAGCCCAAGCTAGACTCGCGCGGCCAATCACCATGCGCGCTATCTTCGCCACCTGGGGGAGTCCCTGATTTGGAAATGAGCATCTGGACGCGCCATCTTGGTCATCGCCCGGTCCTGTCCGCAGCATCGAATGGCACGACCGATTTTACCGGGTTATCATGCTCGAATAGAAACCAAGCGGAGCGTATCGGTACTCACTCAGTCGTAGAAGAGCTGTGGCTTGATTCTACTTATTCTTACTTTCTTTTGTTCATTTTCTGTGAACTAATCACCCTGAAGCTCTTCGGTGATCGACTTGGGACCAAGTTTGGACGACAAGACTCGGGCGTAACGTTATGGGCCCAGCAAGAGGGGTTGCCGGAAAAAATAAGGGGTGTTATTGCAGAAGCCTGCGTGTATTCTATCGATTATGCCTGTTCGTTCCATGAGAGAGAGAAAAACATGTCAACGGCCTTAGAGCGGTAGACTATTCGCATCCGCGTAGGCGCTCAACTTCCCTTGCCAGCCCAATTCGCATCTGGAGATGATATGAGAGCGGGCCAAAGTTTATGAATAGCTAAGCCCTTGAGTGTACGAAGCAAAAAGATGAAACGGCCATTACAAAACCCACACCAATAACTCCAGTCCAGTCCGTACCGTGTCCCTCATAACCCGCCTTTCAGGTATCTCTGTTCATGCACGAAACGGAGGAACTAGCCTTGCTGTCTGCATTGCTGTGTCCACCGAGAGAAGCCAGTGCCAGTTTGGCATCTGGCCTCCAGACGTTCTCTCTTTCGACGAGCTCGCAACTCCTTCCTCTCCTTGTCCAGTCGTCGCTTGCTGGCCTCGGACGCCTGCAACCGCAGCTTCTCCATGTACTTCTTCGCCTTGTCCAGGTAAGTACCGTGCTCTTCCGTCTTCTGTAGCACCTTCAGCACCAAGAGTCTGGAACTGATCTGGGCCTTGGTAACGTAGATGTTCATTTGATCTTTGAGGTCTTGCAGTCTGCGCGATTCCCGGAGGTTCTGCAAGTTCTGATATGATTCCTTGACGACGCTGGCTGTGTTTGCCGCCTCAGTGGTGAAGCGGGCAGACATTTCTCTCACATCTGCCAAGACCGAGTCCTTCCAGCTAGTAAGATGCACGCCTCCCTCCTCAGCCTGCCGCGCAGCGCTGCTTGCTACATCGATGACACGGTCAGCGAACAGCTTGCCGTACCCGAGACACCGCTCAAGAGTGGTTTTGCCAAAGTCGACAAGAAATGTCTCGTTGACCTTGGGCTTCCGGGTTGTGTTGACAGCGATGGTAAGAAGACCATACGCCTCCGACTTGGGGATCTCAATAACAATGCCCTCGTCGATCGAGGAGAACTTTGTCTTAATAGATCTCTCGCCTTTGAGGACATCAATGGTGATCGAGTCTTTGGCAAGCCAGGACGTCTTTGTGCCAGACGGGATCTTTATGAGGATCTCATTACGCCCAGACTTCTCTGCCGAGCAGACGTAGCCCTTCTGAGATTCCGGAAACCTGTCGGCAAGGAAATCCGCCAACTCTGCAAAGGGCGCCACAGCCGTATTTCCTGGAGACGCCTTTGCTTGAGGTACGCGAATCGTCGTGGTGGAAGTCAGGTTGATGGTGATGGTCGAAGTGGAGACTGATGCCGAGGTCGTAGGCGTCACTTTAGACAAAGGCGTTGTCGAGGTCACCGCCGACATCGCCGGGGCCGGTGAGCCTGCCATGAGGTGATTGCAGAGCAGTGCCGCGGCAATCACACCAAGACTGAGCATCAGGGTCTGGCCGATATTCCACAGGTCGAGATCTTCCGTGGCATCGATGGTGCGCTGTCGAATGTTGCGCATCATCTTCATCGCCCGTACATAGCCATCGGATTCGCTGCACTTTGCAGACTCGCCTGCTGCGTCATAGAGGCCGGTGAGATACGCCAGGTTGCGGTTCATCTGACGAGCGTCAATGTTCAGGAAAGTCGTCAAGTCGATGGGCAATTTGACAGAAGGCGAAGCGCGTTCAGAGGATTCCACGCAAAGATGTATCGCGTGCTGATTGATCATGTTGTTCCAGTTGACAGTAGGGTTGTGGAAGGTCTCGGCGTTGGAGATGAAGATGCAAGGAACAGCGTGACGTTGCATAAACTGCCAAGCAGCAGCACGGGTCTTTTGGGCGGTCTCGTCGTCGTTCTCGGTGACGTAAAAGATGGCCACATGCGGCAAGGTCCAAGCTGGCTCGATGATGGAGCCGCTAGGAGCAAATGCCGACTGGAAAGTTCGGTCACCATCGATGGTGATGGAGTAGACGGTTTCGCTGGGGAAGCGATCTCCTTCATAGACGATTTCCCTGGCGGCAGTACAGTTCTCAACCTTGATCTGGTACTGTGAGGTCTTCATCAGCTCGACCTCGGGAACCTTTGCGGAGCCACGGGATGATATGGGGACAACGTTGTAGATGCCGTCGTCTTCGGTGATGCCGCATTCATCCACGGAAGCAGAAGCTGTGAAGGCTGAAGAGATCTTGTAGATGATGTCGTGTTTGGCGCCGTGGCTGCCAGTGTACAGAATCCGAAGCGGCTCTCTGGTAGCCAGAAAATCGGATGCCATGGTTTGGCGAACCGCCGCAAAGAGACGCTTGCTCTTATCCGGAAAGCTGAGGGCCTTGGCGATGGAGCCCGACTTCTCCTCGGTGAAGCTGTGAATGGTATGCTTGACTGCTACCTGCTTGAGCTGGAGCGGGCTTTGGGTCTCGTCAAACTCGATCGAGTGGACCAAAGGGGTGGCCAGCCTCGAGGATTCGAAAGATCTCTCGACGCCGAGTGGGGGTGTAGCAACACGAGACGACGGGTTGAGGAGGCTCTGCTCGGCGTATTGGATAGATGACGCTCGAGACCGGTCTTGGGCAGCATTCTCGTCGTCTTCCGAGTCCGAGTCAGTATCAGACTGGTTGGTCATGTCTTCCGTCTGCTCAGTGCCGGCAAGGCTATGCACATCATCGATTCGAGTATAGTCGAAGGAGCTCGTAGACTCAGCCTCGGTGGCTCGGCCGTCCTGGCTCTCATCATCCGTATTGATGAGCTCGTAGGTGGACTCGCCCAGTCCAGCGTCGTCGTCGTGGGCCTCTGTGGGATTCATGATGTCGGGTTCGCTGGAGGAGATCCAGCTAGCAAGTTGACGGTTGCCTTGAGGGCGGGGAAACCTCAAAGTCAGCTCTGACGACGACAGTGTCGTGGAACCGGAGGGATCTACGTCTCGGTGGGGATCGCCGTTGTATTGCTCTTCCATGCCGAGATAACGAGGGTTAGCCTTTTTTTTATGTGTGTTATCCCGTCATACCTCGCAAGAGTCAGAAAGTTGTAGGAAATGCGAGGGGATCGGGAGTCGGCGATGGTGCGTTGTAGGAAGAGGGTAGTGGTGGTGGTGAATGGAGGGGTAAAGAGGGATATGGAACAAGAGCTGACAGTAGGCGCGGGCGGGGTGGGGGGGGGGGGGGGGGGAGGCAGGGACGTCGGAAGCGGTTTCCTTGAGAAAGAAAAAAAAAACCTGTGCGTCGGAAAAGTTGAATACCTTATCTGTAAAGACGAGAGGGTAAGATGCAGAGAAGATGGGGGAAAGAGATCAACTAACTCTGGCTGAACCTTGGGAAGGTGCGACCTGGAGGATTGAGGAAGGTGGGTTGGTGACGGGACGTCGTCAAAGGCTATTTGGCAGCGGTCGGGGGTTCGGTGGCAGATGCTGCCTGCCTGCCTGCTTTGCCTGCCTTGCCTGCCTTGCCTGCCTTGTTCACTTCGCTGTGAGGCCGCGGAGGAACGTGCTGGGTGGCTAAGTGTGCTGTCTGGCGGTAACCAGAGGCGCGGGGCGGGGAAACAAACGTTCAAGGGGAAAGGGAAGGGCACGGAAAGAAGGGATAGGACGAGACTGGATGAGATGGCGGTCGGTTTATCGGAGGTGAAGTGAGGCGACTGGGACTTGGAGACGTCACGCGGATGCCGCTATCAGGAAGTTTGTGGTACAGATAAGAAGCAAGGTACACTATACTAACCCGTTGGCGCTGCTCCCAGGGTTAGTGCTAGCCGTCCAAGCGCGCCATGCTGAAGTGCTTACTTGATTTGGTTGAGCTGGATCTAAGAAATGTGAAATAGGCGGTGCGAAGAGAGAGAGAGAGAGGGAAACAGAGAAAGAGAGAGCAAGGGTGAGAGCAGAGACAGAGGATGAGGCAGGCAACACTAGGCAATCAGACGCGTGCCGGAGGGGCAGGTGTCATCACACCCAAACCGAGCAAATTCACTTCACCCCATGGAAGCTGGCTGAGAAGCTGCCATGTGGTTTGGGTGGTGGGGGTCCTGTCAGGGTGGAATGCAAAGGCGAAGACGACGCCTATTTCACCCTGAGGAACACGTCCGGCGCTTGTAAAGCTGTCCGTCCAGGTGGTGTCACTCGGGAGAGCTCGCGTTCAACCGATAGACAAATGCAAGTGGAATGTCACTGGTGAATGGGCCCCCCCTCCAATTTGGTTTACGGCAGATCCGCATCGCTACTTTGACAGCACACCAGACCTCTTATCGATAACCCACAGAAGGCGGGTTTGGAGGGGAAATCAGCGCCCAGAATGCAACCAGGTGAGCGTCCTGAGGTGGGGTCAATCCACCATCCTCCCCCGTTGGAACCACTGTTGCACCAACACTAGCCAAGTGGAAATGCAAAGGCCATCGTCGACGGGTCCGCCCCCCAGCATCATCATCTATCTCTTGGCCTCCAATTCGGTGACTCCCTCACTCTATCTCTCTGGTCAGCACAACCATTTTGTGCCGCGTACTCAGGGGCTAACTAGTTCAAGTGCAAGCCACAGTATCGGAAAGAAAATAAAATAAAAAAA